GAAATTATCATATAAGTTAGGTGTAGATATGTCTGTATAGCTTTTCATATGAACACTTTATGCTATGAAAAATGAGTTTTGGTATAAAGGATTGGTTTAATTACGTTGTAATCAAATATTATCATACTTGGAGATAAAATCAAGATTTTCCTAATTTCTTTATAGTAAAAATTTAATTTAATATATATATTTTATTGTGCTTATGGCAATTACTAATATTTCTTGGAGATTCTTGTGCATTTGGTAGGAAATAAATTGAAGACAAATTTCTTGTGCAAGAAGTAAAAACAAAGTCATCCGTAGAGAGAGAGAGAGAGAGAAGGGAGGGACGGTTTCAGCAGGTTTTAAGGCTGCACCAAAATGTCATCGGTGAATGTATTGGAGCCTTTTAACTACAATAAAGTGTGCAACAGACGTTTCTGATAGAAAGAAAGAGAAGGCTAGTTTTTGAAGATGTTTTTTGTTCTAAGTTGAATCTGTAATGTCCAGCCTTTAGTCCCATTTTTACTGCATCTATTGGCTAGTTAAATGGAAGAAATTTTTGCAGCAGCCAACCACCCAATTAATTGTGTATTGTTGAAAAACTCATTCCACCTTCATCTCCCGATGGCTATATATAGAGCATCAATTCTTTTGTTTTGGACACTCGAAAAGAAGAGAAACAGAGAGATTATAGATTTTTTGAGAGGTTTTTTTGAGTTTGTAAATTCTTTTGTAAAATTCTATTCAAATAAGAAATAAAATAGTTTTTCCTCTTATAACTCCTCTTTCGTGATCGAAGAATCACAACAAGTGGTATCAGAGACGAAAAATATTTTCATATTGGCACCTGTAGTTTTTTGGTATTTGCTTTCAAAATATCTCATTATTTTTTTGAATTTTTTTGGGAGTCATATTTTAACTAGGGAAGAGTCAAATACATCATTTTAATTGTTCCGAACACAACAATATACTCTGTTTTGCCAACTCAAACCCAATTTTGATCAAGCCATTTTGAAGTAAGATGTCAATGGAGGAATCATCATCAGGAGCTATGATAATGCTCACCGCCACCAATTACACACTGTAGAGGCATCGAATGGAAGACCTTCTCAGTTGTAAGGATTTGTACAACCCCTAGGAGACTAAAGGTGTGAACCCTAAGCCCACCAAAGAGACTGGGTGGAAGAAGTTGAATAGAAAAACTATCGATCAAATCTGACAATGGATTGATCATAGTGTCTTTCACCAAGTGGCACATGAGACAGCCGCATATGACCTCTGGAAGACTCTGGAGGACATGTACCAAGCCAAGACAGCTCGAAACAAAGCCCTGTTGATGAGGCGTATGGTGAATCTGAAGTTAAAGGGTNTGAATAGAAAAACTATCGGTCAAATCCGACAATGGATTGATCATAGTGTCTTTCACCATGTGGCACAGGAGACAGACGCATATGCCATCTGGAAGACTTTGGAGGACATGTACCAGGCCAAGACTGCTCGAAACAAAGCCCTGTCGATGAGCCGTCTGGTGAATCTGAATTTGAAGAGTGGAACTTCAGTTGCTGAACATACCAGTGAATTTCAGAACTTGGTGAACCAACTATTGTCTGTAGAGATGCCCCTCGGGGATGAAATGCAAGCACTTCTACTTCTAAGTTCTCTTCCGACAGTTGGGAAACACTAGTACTATCTCTTAGCAACTCAGCCCCTAATGACAAACTTATCATGTCTATGGTCAATGATGCCTTATTTAATGAAGAGGCCAGGAGAAAAGATATCAACATGGATCGGTCACATGCCCTTCTCGTAGAGAATCGGGGAAGACAACAAGGAGGAAATTGAGGTAGGGGGAGAGGCAGAAGAAAAAGTAGGGTCAGATCCATAGATGGAAGAAAGCCTACTTACAGGTTTACCACGGTAGCATAGAGGGTCACTTAAAGAAGAACTGTCGAAAATTGATACGAGAGCAAGGCCATAATAGTTCGCAATCGAAAAATAAAGAGGGAGATACACTAGTCACTATTTCTAAAGATGTGGCTATCTGATCTATCCATGATGAGAGATGTCTTCATGTTTCAAGCCAAGACAATGAGTGGGTGGTAGATACTGCAGCATCTTACCACACCACTCCATGTAGCGACTTCTTCACAAAATACAAAGCTGGTGACTTTGGTGCAGTGAAGATGGGAAATACTAGTTCTTCTGAGATTGTGGGAATTGGTGATGTTCAGATACAAACGAATACCGGGTGCAAAATAACCCTGAAGGATGTTGGACACGTGCCAGATCTTCATGCAAAGTAACCCTGAAAGATGTCCGACAGGTGCCCGATTTTCGACTCAATCTTCTTTCCGGAATAGCCCTTGACACACAGGGCTATGATAATCACTTTAGCAGTGGCACATGGAAAATGATGAAAGGTGCTATGGTTGTTGCTCGAGGACATATTTGTGGCACTTTATACAAAACTCATGTGAAAATGTGTACAGATAGCCTTAACTTAGTGGAACGTGAGGCTTCTCAAAATCTGTGGCACCAGAGACTCGGTCACATAGCGAGAAAAGCCTATCTACTTTGACAAAAAAGGAGCTAATCATTGTTGCCCAAGCAGGTGTGCTAGATCCTTGCAATCACTGTCTATGTGGTAAGCATCATAGAGTCTCTTTCAATTTCTCTTCAACAAGAGATCAGAGTTGCTTAGTCTAGTACACTCTGATATTTGTGGTCCCTTGAAGATTGAATCACTAGGTAGTAACAAGTATTTTCTAACATTCATTGATTATGCTTCTCGAAAAGTATGGGTGTACTTCTTGAAGACAAAGGACTAGCTATTGGATTATTTCAAACAGTTTCATGCCATGGTAAATAGGAAAAAAAGTTGAAGTATCTTCACTGAGACAATGGAGGCGAGTACACTTCCAGAGAGTTCGATGCCTATTGCGAAGCCACGACATTCGGCCTGAGAAGACTGTCCCATGTACCCACAACATAATGGAGTAGCAGAGAGAATGAATCGGACAATTATGGAAACGGTCAAAAGCATGCTCAGTATGGCTAAGCTACCAAAGCCATTCTGGAGAGAAGCTGTTTAAGTGGCTTGCTACCTGATCAACAAGTCACCATTAGTACCGTTGAATTTCAAAATTCCAGAGAAAATATGGTTTGGTAAGAATCCTTCATACTCTCACCTAAGAGTATTTTGTTGTTTAGACTTTACACATGTATCCAAGGAGTTAAGACAGAAGCTCGAAGCAAGAACTACTCCAGGCATCTTTATAGGCTATGGAGATGAAGAATTTGGATAAAGCTTATGTGTTCCAAGACAAAAAAGATCATAAGAAGTAGATACGTATTG